GATGTTTCTCTCTCATTGATGTTTCTAACTCTCTATTCCTTCCCCTTCCTCTCTGTGTAAAAAATCAATAAAATATATTTAAAAAATATGTATATATTTTTAAAAAATCAAAGTTAATGCAAAAAAGTTCATGATGAACAAAATATTACCATTTTTTAAAAAGATGGGAGCCAACCCTGCAGCAATACACTCCTCTCACTCACCTGCCCTCGCTCAGCCCTTGGGACAGAAGCACCTACTGGAGGTGCTGGGCGAGATTAAAGGAGATAAAGCATGTAAAACGCTGATTGCGGTGCCACCACCCATAAAGGGCCCTGGTTCTCCAAAGGAAGGAAGGAAGGTGCAAAGTGGTGTAGGTGCTCAGTGCTGCCACCAGGGGGAGGACTCGCCGCAAACGTCACCAATGGTCCTTTGCAAGAGTCAGTCAACCTGTCAGCCTTCCTCTCCCTCTGGTGTCCCCTTCCCCTCCCTGGCCCCAGGCCCCAGCTGCAGCACGCACATGATTCATGCCAGGCCTTTGACCGGGCAGTTCCTGCTGCCTGGAATGCCCATCCTTCCTGGCGGAAGTTCTGTTTATTGCAAGACTAACCAAGAAGGACGCACAGAGAGAGGACTTCGTGGGGGGCACTTCCTTTGAGACAGGTTGAGTTCGGTGTCTCTCAACAACCTACTGCTGTGGTCTGCAAACCGCGGCTCGCGAGCCACATGCGGCTCTTTGGCCCCTTCAGTGTGGCTCTTCCACAAAATACCACGTGCGGGCGCATACGTACAGTGCGATTGAAACTTCGTGGCCCATGCGCAGAAGTCGGTATTTTGTGGAAGAGCCACACTCAAGGGGCCAAAGAGCTGCATGTGGCTCACGAGCCGCGGTTTGCCGAGCCGCAGTTTGCCGACCACTGAAGTGGCTAAGTTGTATGGCCCCCATTTGACAGATGAAGGAACTGAGGCTCGGTGTGGGTGCAGACTTGCCCAGGGTTGTGCATCTAGAAAGGCTGAGCTGGGATTTGAACCCCAGGCTGTCTGAGTCCAGAACTCGTGGCTTTTCTACCACAAAGAGCACTTGTGAGCATAAGCCGAGCCTCAGGAGAAACCCCAAGCCAGCCAGAGGAAGGGCAGAGGAAGGGATACAGAGCAGGTCTCTGGAGTGACAGCCCCACCACTGCTTCCGGGGTGGGGAGGGAGGGGGGCCCTAGGACCCCCACTCTCTGGGCCAGTGGGGACGAATAGGCCAGGCTGCAGGCAGCTGTTACCGGAATAAGAGCTCGATGGCTTTCCTCCAGGGACTCCAGGCTCTGGTGGACAGCCTGGCTCATCTTGGAGAAGGCCTCCAGGTGCTGCTGGATGTCCTGGCTGACGGTGAAGAGCTTCCCATAATGCTCCACCAGGGCCTCCACCAAGGCCTCCTCCTGAGCCTCCTCCGTCTCCTGCCCTTCATTGTAACCTATGGAGACAGTGCTGGGCGGGGTGGGTGGGCAGGAGAGCTGGCCCTCACCCATCCCTTCAGTGGGCGATGCCAGTAAGGTAGACGGGGCTTCTGCTGCCGCCCAGAACTCCAGCTGGGCTCGATCCCCAGTAGGGGGCCTGCAGGAGGCAGCCAATCCATGACTCTCATCATTGATGTTTCTCTCTCTCTCTCCCTCCCCCTTCTTCTCTGAAAAAAAATAAAAATAAAAACGTGTTTGTCTTCCCTTCCCTTTCCTAACAAGTTTTCAGCACTGTAACAGTGGATTTTGGTATAAATCAGGATAAAACAAAACAAGATACAAAAACCCATTCAGTTGTCTGCGTAATTTTAGTTGATAATAGCAAAACACAAACACAAACCAAAGACAAACAAAAGACTAGGAACAGTAGCTCACGTGTACTGGGTGCTAGCTAAATGCCGGGCCCCGGGTACATGCTTAGCAAAGAGGCGTTCATCTAGTCCACACAACTGCTGCTGTTCCCATCGTACAGATTCAGAAACCAAGACCTTGAGAACCTACCACAGGCCACATGGTCGGTGCTGGCAGGCCTGGGCCCTCAGGCAGGCTGGCTCCGCACCCGGGCCCTCCTCAAACACCGGGGCATCGGCCTCCATGGATCACCCTCCCGAGATGAGCTAGACTTGCAGCGGTTCTCAACCTGTGCGTCGAGACCCCTTTGGCGGTCGAACGACCCTTTCACAGGGGTCGCCTAAGACGCTCCTGCATATCAGATATTTACATGACGATTCATAACAGTAGCAACATTACAGTTATGAAGTAGCAACGAAAATAATTTTATGGTTGGGTCACAACATGAGGAACTGTATTTTAAGGGCCAGAAGGTCGAGAACCACTGAGCTAGAGGCTCAGTGAGGCCACACACTGTGCTCCACTCCTGAGTCTAGGAAGTGGCCACACACAGGAAGCTACATACGTACCCTTGGGGATTTTCTCAAGGACCTTAATCAGATAGTCTTCAAAAAGCTTGTACTTCTCCACCTTTCTCTTCAGCTTCCTCTGCCTGTGGGGACATTGCGGTGACAGTGTGAGCCAGACAGGAGGCTGTGGTTGGGAGGCTCCCAGATCCTGACCCCTTGCAGGGCCACCCTCTGTGGTCCCCTGCTCAGAGCGGTGCTGGCCGTCCACTCCCCCCGCCCCCCATCAGTGGGCCACTGACTTCAGTCTGTCCACTCCATTTTACTGCTGGGCCAACCAAGCCACAAAGAGGTCAGAGAGACGCCTGAGGTGGGTGAGGTAGGGCCCCGGGGAGCGAAGCCAGGATATTCCGGCTTGGGGGTCGACGGTGCCTCTCCTGGAGGCTGAGCAGGTGCTGGGTGGCTTAAGCCCCTATCAGCCGGAGACCTGGCAGGTGTTATACCTGTCTGTGCCCATCTGCGATGGGGTTGTGAGAGACCCTCCCCCACAGGCTGGCCGGGACTGTGCCTGGGGATCCTAGCACCTCATAAGCACCCAGTCTGAGGTCAGGAACCCAGCACCCCCTGGAGGGCAGAGGGCCACATGCTGCCGCCCAGCTGTGTCTGACTCTCAGGGGATCCCGAAGCAAGATGAGTCTCCACTCTGGGCCTAGTCAAGGTCAACAGTCAAGGGCAGAGGGCAGAGGGCAGAGTAGGGCCTGCCCCGGCCAGCGGGCTGAGCCGACGGGGGGCGGGGGGAGTATCTCTGAGTGACAGTAGAGTGATCCATGGCAAGCCACTCTGCCTCTCAGGCCCCATGTTCTCCTCCACACGGTCCTGAAAAGTGCAGGAGAGACTTTGCAACTAGCACGCGGGGCCCTATGAGCCACGGTGCTAAACCTCCTGGGGCCGGGAAGCCCTTCTAGAACCTGATGAAGGGGTTGGACTTTTCTTCCCTAAAAATTGCTCAGACACAGCCATTTGCCTCTAATCCAGGCCTTTGTGGGCGGCTTGAAATCCAAGGGCCCCCTGGGAGGCGAGGACCCAGGGTCTCCACTCAGAGCCAGGCGGCAACCTCGCAGGCTGATTTTAGAGGGGCTGGGCCAACAGGTGCACAGGATGGCACCCATAGCCCTGCCTCTGTGGTGGGGATCCTGCCTCCGTGATGGGGGATCCTGCCTCCGTGATGGGGGATCCTGCCTCCGTGATGGGGGATCCTGCCTCCGTGATGGGGGATCCTGCCTCCGTGATGGGGGATCCTGCCTCCGTGATGGGGGATCCTGCCTCCGTGATGGGGGATCCTGCCTCCGTGATGGGGGATCCTGCCTCCGTGATGGGGGATCCTGCCTCCATGATGGGGGCCCTGCCTCCGTGATGGGGGTCCTGCCTCCGTGATGGGGGCCCTGCCTCTGTGATGGGGGGCCCTGCCTCTGTGATGGGGGATCCTGCCTCCGTGATGGGGGACCCTGCCTCTGTGATGGGGATACTGCCTGTGGAGGGCTGAGACTTGCCCAGGGTCTCAGGTCAAAGGACGTAGCCAACCCCTCCACCCCCCTCGCCTCAGCTGCCCCTCCCCCTTTACTTCCAGGCCTCACTCTCCTCCTCTATTTCCTGGCCTGGCATTTTAGCTCAGTCCCAGCCACTCAGCCCACAGCAGGCGGCTCTGGGGATGAGGTTGGGGGCTTGGCGGGGCCTGGAAAACTCGTACTTGGCCTGGAGCTGGCAGAGTTCCTGTAACAGCACCTGCAGGTATCTGTCCTTGTCGCCATCGCCAGTACTGCTCGGGCCGGACGCCTGGCCCGTGTCCATGGCCCCTGGCATTGCCCCTCACCACGCCAGGCCGCTCTGGAGGATGAGGGTCATGGGGGCCAGGCAGGAAGGTGACAGCCACACGCAGGGCAGCAGCCTTGGTCTTCTGGTGGTCCCGACAGTCCTCGGTGGCCAGGATACACTCCCACTTCACAGAAAGGGAAACAGGCTCAGAGGGGGTCGGGTGCCCAGCTCAAGGACACACAGTAGGACTGGATTTGGACTCGGGTTCATTAAATCCAAAATCTGGGGTCTTTGAGCTGCACCCCAGCTCTGGAAGGACCAAACGTGCCGTTCTGTAGCAGCCTATGGCCCTGTCACCCCATAGCTGGGACGGTCCCATCACCGCCAGGTCCCGAGGGCACCAACATGCCGGACTCCCAACAGGTGCTGGCTTCCGTGGCACCAGGATGGCCAGGGTCAGAGCTGGGCTGGCTCAGCAGCTGCCCCAGCGGGAGAGGCGCTTTTGTTGTCTCTCTCTCCCCGCCCATCCCTCCGCCCAGGCACGCACTTAGCCGACAGCACAAACTCTGAGCTTACACAGAGCTGACCGAGTTGGAGTGGAGACAGACCATTGAATAAGCCCGTGGTTGGCTGGGAAGCTGGTCTAGTTACCAGGGAGCTTCCACCCGCCTTGCAAAGAGTTCCTGGGCCCCTCGCCTAAGTGTGGCCCCCAGTTATGACCAAAAGGAGAAGAAAGTCTCCCAGGGCACCATGCATTGGGCGCCTCCTGGCCCAGCCCCCGCACAGGGGAGGGGCCCGGAGAGGAGGTGAGGGGCTGCCTGCTCAGCATCTCCACCCCCAGATCAGACATGCGTACCTGAGCTTGGGAGGAGGTAGCGGCCTTGCTGACTCACCATCCAGGAGCACAAGCCACAGCCGGCCGTGAAGTCACAATGCTGCCTTCTGTCCTGTGACCTGCCTGTTGCAGGGTCCGCCCATGGGCTGTGACGTCACAATGCTGCCTTCTGTCCCGTGACCTGTTGTTGCAGGGTCCGCCCGTGGGCCGTCCTGTCACACTGCTGCCTTCTGTCCTTGTGACCTGCCTGTTGCAGGTCCGCCCGTGGGCCGTCCTGTCACAATGGGGGCAGCAGGTTTCCCAGAGCAACCCCGAGCTGCGGGCTGGAGAAGGAGAAAGGGATGCTGAGCTCAGCACACGGAGGCTCAGATGAGCCAGGCGAGGAGGCAGCGGCAGCTGGAGGGTTTCTGCTGCGGGCGTGGCCTGGTCAGCCTGGCTGCAGAGGGTGCGCCCGCTCAGGGTGGACACGAGGCAGGCGGCCCGCGGTGGCGGCGGCTGACCTCTGTGGGCACAGTGCTGAGCGCCTTCCTGCAGGGCTCACCCTAATGCGACACGCCACCTGGCAGAGCCCTCACTTCACAGGTGGGGAGACTGAGGCCCCTGAGGTTCAGTAACACGCAAATTATTGATTTCAGAGAGGAAGGGAGAGGGAGAGAAGGATAGAAACATCAATGATGAGAGAGAATCATTGATCGGCTGCCTCCTGCCGATCGAGCCCACAACCCGGGCATGTGCCCTGACCAGGAATCGAACCGTGATCTCCTGGTTCATAGGTTGAATCTCAACCACTGAGCCCTGCAGTAGGGCACTGAGCTGAGATGTTAACCCTTCTGTCGGAACTCCAGGACCCTCTGGGAGGTGGAGTTGCCGGGCCCTAACCCGCTTGACCCGGCACCACCGCAGGCAGGGGGTGTAGGGATGGTGGAGCGATCTGCTTCCCAGGAAGGACTGTATCTCTGGCCCGAGGTGTCCTGTGCAGTGTCCAGGACGCAGGGGACAAGGCTGGGAGAGGGACTGCGGCTGCTCCTGTGAGAGTTCTCCCTGTCAGGCCCTAAGGAGCGACTGTCCAATGACCAGGGATTGACACGGATCATGGGTTTACCCTGCCTGGCCCTTTGCCTGAAGTCGCCCATGTACTTCTCCAAACAATCTTCAAGGTGGTGGACGCCCTGCTCCATTTTGCAGATGAGAAAACTGAGGGTCCAGGAGGGGAAGTAACTTGCCAAGGACACTCGGCTAATTAACGGGTCGCAGGGCTGGCCCAGTGCAACATGAAAATGCTGGGTTCCCATTCAGAAAATTAAGGATTTCATGTCAGCAACAGCAGAACGTAAGTCCAAATACGGGCTGTCCTGAGCACAGGTGCCCTGCACATGTCCTGTGCTGGGCTCTGAACCCAGGTCTACGGACTCCTGAACCTGTTCTTTAGCCACACCCACTCCCTCCCTAACTACCTGCCCCAGAGCCCTCTTCAGCTCTGGTTCTTCC